ATAAAAAAAAGTAAAGTTGAAAATGTTACTGAATGAATAAGTATAAGGAAAAAAAACTAATCCATAAACTTGAATGTTGATCTTGAAAGGTTATAAATAGCAGGAATTATTATATAAATAAGTAATCAATGCATATATATATATATAAACATAATCTATGGTTAAGTAGCTGTATCAGTAGAAATGAGCATCCATAATGATCAACAATTAACCTATTCAAACGTATTGTATTATTCAAATCCACTTGAGTTGCAAACATTTTTGTTTCATTTTGAGAAAACCTTTGTACCTTTAAGCTTTCAAGTGGACATTATATTCATATAATATAATATTATCCAGCTAATTTTGATTATCGTAAAAAATATCATCCATTTTTTAGTTGTTGCTGTTTGTTGTTTGATAATTGTCCACCATAATGGTCAAGGCTATTGAGGAAAGATTAACGAAATCGTTACGATTTCTTAACTATAATAATGATAAAACTTGTCTCTTTGTTGTAATTGTCTCCATTGTCATTTACATGGTTATTATTGTCCATTAAAAGTTATTAGTTTGCATATTATCATGATATTATTATGTGTTATTCAAGGATAAGATTCTGGGTAAGATTTTTTTTTCATAGTACATTTTGTATGGAAAAGTTTATATTAATATAATAAGATTTTTTTTATTACTATTAATATGGTCTTTTATGATCATTATTATTATGATGATGATCGTTGCCTCTTATTTGAGATGAACTCCCATGGTATTGGGTAAGGTATTCATATTATCACCATGATTATGAATGATTCAGTCTCAAGGAATTTCAATCGTCAGATTATTTTGCATTATTATGATATTAATAATGTTAGTATTTTCTATTCTCTCGCTTATCAATCATGGATGATGATATTTCAGCATCAACATTTTCTCGAGTTTATCATGTCTCTCTCTCTCTCTCTCTCTCTCTCTCTCTCTCTCTCTCTCTCTCTCTCTCTCTCTTATTTGTCAAGAATTCTATAAGTAAAAATATTCTTCAAGTTATTTGAAATAAATCAATAGAAAAAACGAAGACGAAAAAAAAAGAAAAAGCAAAAAAAAAGAATAAAAAAGAAAATTTTCCAATCAAAATCAATAATGTCCACATACTCATAGAAAGTCCTGTTCTCACTAACTGACCAATACATGATGCTAATCAGGGTGAAAATATAGTTCCATTAGCTTTGATTATAGAAGAAAAAATCTCTCTCTAATCTGAAAGATCGTAAGTTAATCAAATTAACATGATAACAATTTCTGATATTGGAAAGTGATAAAGTCTCTGATGGTTAACTAAAGCAATAGGGGAAAAAATAGTTCGATGTTGGAAATTTGATCTTGTCAGATTTTCTGATGAACTTTTTTGATATTTTTCTTCTTCTTCTTCTCTAAATTGAATAGTTTGGACACAGAATATCAAATATTAAAATATAAGATAAATCGCTATTCGGTTCATGATATTAGGTTAACCGTGAAAAATGTGATTCTATGAGTTTGATTGTTGTCAAGAATTAAATTGTTTGTTGTTAATAACAAAAGAGAATTTATTTTATTTTCGTTATCCTGATGATAATAGAGTGATTTTGACATTTGATTGTTTGACAAGAATCTTTGTGATAACAATTATCATCATTTCCTTTTATGATTAACTTTCTCCTTTTCTTTTTGTACTGTGTGATTGTCAGAATTATCAGAATCAGAATATCTTTTGTTCATTGATATTGAGATGAGAATCACCATGTAAACCCTTTACTCATCTGATTTTTTTTATATATTAAATGAATAAATCCCAAAGACAATGGAATAGTAAGAAGAGAGGAAAGTAAAATAAAACTTCAATCAGATAATAATTCAAAGTTTTACCATGAAGAAAAAATAAGTTCATTCACTCATGAGTTTTTCCAACATCATTATTATTATCACCAACTAATTAATACGATTATTCAACATATTATTTGATTATAACCACAAAATTGTACATTATGAGTCAATTATTATTCAACATTTTGTTTAGTATATTTTTCACGGTTTTATACTTATTTTAATTTCTCACAATTGAGCGTTGATTATTTGGTTATTGTCCTTGTTGATTGTGATTAGTTATGACAAGGGAATTGACAATAAATTTAAATAGTTTTCGCTAATTTGATCCATGAAATTAAATCAATTGTATATTAAACTTAATCAAATTAAATTATGATTAGTAAATCTTTCAACCGATATTTCAATATTTTCTCAGTTTATATAATATACTCGAAGAAGAAGAAGAAGTGGAATAAAAAGTTCTAAACCTTTGGAACTTTTGATGGACTCGAACTTTTATATCTTATAGAAAATTCATCTTACCATGAGATTCTCAGAAGTTCATGATTCGTTAGATGAATGCTTCAAGCTAAGAACGAAAACCAATAACTTTAAAAAGAAGAGAACGAGATATTATTCTTGAATAGATGAGAAAAAATCTCCATTCAATGACCATTAAAAGTTGAGAATGCTGATAAAAAAAGAAGAAAATGAAAAATTGGAATCGAATACATTAAACATTAGAACCAAATAACCTGTAGTATAGGTGATTCCATATGAAGATGATAATGATAATGCTCGATATGATTTAATATATAATATCTATTTGGGAATGGATAATATACAAAAATGGAAAATAAGAAGAAGAGGAAAAAAATTCTGACTAAAGTATTCTCAATATTATCATTCTGCTGTGACTGTGTGTTTTGTTTCCTTGTCAGAAACATTCAAAGTCATGGTAAAGAAGGCGAAGGAAAAATAAAATAATAATCTGAAATTTAGATTAACCTTTGAAGCGGCTATTGCCTGGGAGGACCAGTTGAAATATCATCTATGATAATAATAATAATGATAATAGTCAATATAACAGCAACAAAAGTCAAACCAAATCTAGAGCATATCAAGAAACTCAATGGGAGTGATGATGATGATGATGATGATCAAGTGGGAGGTGGAAAGGCGTTAACATGGGAATGGATATGGGAACAAGTTAAAGTGTCCATAAGAATCGAGAATAGCCCTAACAATGATAACTATTTTATTATATATCGAGAAATACATATTATCATCATCATCAGAATATTTTTTTTTGCGAAGTTCTTAAGGTGGAGATAATTTTATGGGTTCGGTGGGATAGGAAAAGAAAATGTTCTTAAGGTTATTTACTAATATATATATTTTTTGTTCTCAAATAACAATTGGTAAAACTCATAAAGATTAAGAATTGAGAGAGAAAAATCATATATAGTATTTATGTGTATTATTTTTATTATCATGTGTCGACGGTGGGGCACTGAATAAGAGAGAGTGGGAGGAGGAATATATTCAAAGCTTATTCTCTACAATTTTATAGGATGAATCCAGCATTCGGATATATATAAATGTCTCTGAATGAATTCTGTATACTCGGTTATTTGCTGAATATTTCACTCTAACCTATTGTTCATATACTTTTTCGATGTTCATGTTATTAGTTATTATCAGAATTTTCTTCATCATTTTTATCATCATCTCTCCTGTTTCTTTACTCATTGCAATTATATCTTCCAACTGATAATATACTCACTTGCTTACTCTCTCTCTCTCTCTCTCTCTCTCTCTCTCTTCTCTCTCTCTCTCTCTCTCCTCCCTCTTTGATGGATTGAATATTTCATTGGAATGTCAAATACTTACTCTTAAAGTTATCATTATCATCAATATTATTGTACCAACAATAGTTTAATGTGTGATTATGAATATAAGTTTGTGTTTGTTTTTTTCCTTTCACTATTTAATAGTTGATTGAGTTTCAAGATAAATGATGATAGATTAAGATTCTTATTACTTGGTGTGAGATATTGAGAAATAGGATGAAAGAGACGAGAGGATGAGGAAGAGAAAGAAAGAGAGAGAGAGAGAGAGAGAGAGAGAGAGAGAGAGTTGAGGATGACGAAAGAAAACAAAGAAAATTGTGTCAAGAATTTTTTTCTTTCGATTATCATTTTCGTCATGGATAAATATTAATTTTTCAATTTTCTTATTGAAAATAGTATTGATGTTATCCTTTATGTTACCTAACCAATTGGTTTACTTGATAGAGTTTCTTACAATGAAATGATGATAATAAGATGATTGTGATTAAATTAAAGGTTAAAATAGTTGAAGTTGAATTGATGAGATTGAAAAAAGATGAGGATGCTACGAAGTATGTTATTAGAAAAGGATAAGAGCTTATGGAAAGAAAAGAAAAGTTATCATTCGTTGGAAATGATTCAGTGATTCTAACATAATAAAGATGATAGTGTTATTATTATTTTCGATTGGTGAATACAAATAGAGCTCGTTATTAAGGCTGGGAGAGAGAGATAGAGAGATAAACATCGACTGGTTAGAGTATTGACGGTGATTAGAATATGATAATAAAGATGACAATAGGATGAGCTCAGGTAAAAAAGGGAAAAGGTAAATGTATTTAGTTATGGTTGATAAAATAATCTCAATAGATAAGTTTGTTGCCTTTGGAGATTTACCTTTAAACATTTTCTATTGTTATAAAGTAGAGAGAAAGATTTTCATTGATTATTATCATTGACCATTTATCTCATCAATAAACGATAATGAAGGATTTTTACATCAGATATCAGGTTGTGTCCATCTTAATCTCTCTCACTGACCGACGACCTCCCATGGATAACGAACAGTCCACATAATCAACTTACCGTCACCTTAGAACGCGTTTCATGTTGACCTTTTACAAAACTGACCATTCAAACTGCACCATAAGTAAGTTATGTTATTTATGTAGACATTTTGACCTTAAGCTGATATTTGGGGAGAGATGTGATATGGCATTGATTATGAGAAACTTTTTCATCGAGTTCATTAATAATATTATTATCATAACTAATTGTTTGAAGAATTGAAATGAGAAACTGTTTTTACATCATTCTGAATTGAAACTGAACTTTATTTGTGAACTTTAGTTGCAACTACTACTTTTTGATGAAGTTGCTTCTCTTAGTATGTACACTTTTGAGCTAATTAGTGTTAATGGTTACATTTTAATTTAGTTTTGATTAATAATAATGATTAAAGATTATGGTGATTAAGTTAAACAACAAAGGTGAGCAACATTGGAAATACAAATTGGGTTTGCAAGAGAGAGAGAGAGAGAGAGAAGGGGGGAAATTTGAAACTATTGTCAACTAAAGTTTGACAGTTTTTGTTTTGTCAATTTATTGTATTAATTAGTTTTCTAGTCGATTAATTTATTTGAAAGGGAAGATGTTGATGCGTTTGAAGGTGATGAGGATGAAGATGATGGAGATAAAGTATTAGCATTTGGATGAGCTAATGATGGTGTTGACGATGAAGGAGGTGGAGGTTGAGGTGATGTGGAGGTGGGAACATTTTTTTCTTCTAAAATCCAATCTGATGTATTTCGTCGTGACGGAGATGACGAATTTTTAGTTTTATTGAAATTTTGAGAGAGAAGATGAGGAAGGGCCATTAGATCGTTTTGTATTCGAAGTGAGGCCATTCGAGCCGAGTAATTTGGTGAACTTATCGGAGGGCTCAAGGAGGAAAGTTGATGGCTAGAGACTGGAGTAGATCCAAAGAGTGGATAACTGTTTGTTGTATTGATTGCTGATATTGTGGAGGATGAGGAAGTTGGTGAAGTTGATCCCGAGGACACGACCACTGCCGCTGCCGCAGCAGCAGCCGCCGCCGCCGCTGCTGCTGAGGGGAAACCTGGAAAAAGGTTTGCATAAGGTGAGCCAACATTGAGAAGAGTCCGTTGAAAGGGTGACAATGAGGGATGAAGAGATGCTAAATGATGAAGCCCTCCGGGAGAAACAGGTGATTGATTTGGTTGTTGTGACTGTTGCTGATTGGATGAAGATCGTCTATGATGATGATGATGAGAATGAGAATCTCGATGATGAGGATGATGAGCTGAGGGTGAAATTAACAATGGTGATGTTAATGAACTTTTATCTTGTCCAATGAAACTTTCAGCTAATCCTGGAATCAAATGATTGAAAAATTGTGATGGTGATGTTGTTGTAGTGGTTTGATGTTGCTGATTATTTTGTTGTTGTTGATGGTGATGTTGATTAGATGAAGGATTCTGTTGTTGCTGATGATTATGATGATGATGATGATAGTGATGAGATGGAGGAGGAGGAGGAGGAAGAGGAGGGTGAGATGATATTCCTGCTGCTGCTGTTGTTGATGAGGATGATGAATGATCTTTCAATAAGTTTGTTGATGACATTTTATTTGTTGATAAATCTCGAGGTGAATTACCATTAACATCAGATGAAGATGATTCCAGTTGAGATAAACTATTTTCATCAATATTTTTACCACCGGTATTATTGCTAATGTTATTGATATTATTATTAACATTGGTAGCATTGTGACGTGACTGATGATGATTATGATAATGGTTACCTATTGAATTATTATTATTATTATTGTTTGGTGATAAATCTGAAGGTGATGTTGATGCTGATCGTTTAGCTGAAATAACTTCAGGAGTAACATTAACAGCCATTGAACTGAACAATTGTTTAATTGCTGTAACCTCATCACCTCCACAACTTTCCAATACTTTGATTAGTGTTGATTGTTTATGGAAAGGAAAAAGTTCTGATAATATTTCGAGAGTTGAACGTTTAGGTAACCGATCCAATGGTTTATTATTATTACTATTAACACTGTTGGAGCTTTTTTTTGAACGTTCGTCGAGTTTAATTTGTTTACAGTTGTTGTTGTTTTCTATCATTGATTCTGTTTCCATTGGTTTAGGAGATGAAGATAAATCATCTTCATCATCATTTGTATTATCTGTTAGTCCATTTTGGACAATAAAGGGTTGACCAATAGTAACATTTTCTACACCTTTAACAGGCATAAGTGTTGAATGGTTTTTACCTTGTTGTTGATCAGGAAAACCAGGTAAATCTTCAGATTCACTTCCTTGTTCATCTGTTTCATCATCATCAGAATCACCGCTAATATTACCAATCGGTTCACCGGCAGAATCGGATAAACGAGGCCGTTTATTGGGCAAAGGCCAATCTGTGTAATTACCGAGAAAATAAAATTATCAACATTTCTTTAAGGCAAATAAATAGATAAATCATCAAGTTATCGATATAATATTATAATAGAAAGTGTGAAAATCAATGATAACAATTAATATCCATTGGAAATAAATAACATTTGAACCATTTTCAAAAGCAATTACTTTTGATTAATGATTAAAAATGATTATTAAATATATCTTTAAATTGAATATGAAATTGTGACCATTATTTATTGATAATATTAGCTTAGTAACCAAAGAGGAGATGATCAATAATGATAATATTTTTATTTACAATGTGATAATAATAATCAACATCTTATGATATTGATAACGATAATGGTGCTAATAATAATGCTAATAACAACAACAAACTCACAATGATAATGATATTATAAGAGGGATGAATGATTTGTTAAACATGAAAAGTTAATGGTAGTAAAGTAGTGGTCAAGCCGATGTGGGCCACCCCACACAAAAGTGAAAGGGATAAATGACCAAGTAAACAAAATGATCACATTGTTATTTATGTTCATCATAAAACTTTTTTCTTGCCTTCTTCTTGTGGTCAAGAGTATTCAATTGGTCAAATAAAGATATTGGAAAGGAAACAGTTAACGATAACAATGATATCCTTTTCCTTTCACCTCTTCCTTTTCATCATCATCATCATCATTATCATCCTCCACATTCTCACTCACTTTACTCTCATAAAGGTATCTTCTTCACCAACATCTCTCTCTCTCTCTCTCTCTCTCTTCTCATTTTATAAGAATCAATATATTCATTCAGGGATGGAAATTTTTTTTCTCTTCCAAAGTAAACATTTTCTTTTATTTTCTAATAACTTATTATATGTTTGATATTATATTTTTAATTCATTATATATTATTATTGAGAAAGTCTCATGCCTTTGACCAATCGATTTGTCCATCATATATTGACAAAGTAAAACCTAACAATCCTATTATGACCCTAGGTCATTATCATTATTTATTGTTGTGGTCATTGTTGTTATTACTTATCAATAAGTGTTATGATTAGTGATGAAAGGCAACACTGTAGGAAGAAAAAAAAACTTTAAATGTAATAAAAATAACTGAATTTTGAGTAAAATATTAAGATGACCTTAGTAATGGTCAAAAGGTTAAGAGAGTGTAAATTGTTGCTCATTGATAAGTAAGTCTTAATCAAACTAACTTATCAATAATTTGTCACTGATTATTATTAATATTAAAGATAAGTAATCATAATCACACCAGTATAACTAATTGATGAGGAAAGTTTTTTTTTCCAATTGATTGTATTAATAGTATTTACTGTAAATGTATTAGAATGAGAAACAATCAAGCATAGATACGCATTTAACAAACGTCAATCAAATAATCAAATGAATCCAAATTAAGATAAAAAAAATGTTGACACTGATTGTGACAAATGATTATAATCATTCAAGTTTAATAATAGTTGAAAAGTTAACAACAATAACAAGAAAGTGACAAAAAGTGTATCCATTTTATTTTCAAGGTGCCAACATGAGTGCTAATCATAAAGGCAACAGGATAAGCATATGAACAAAGGATAATAATGATAATTGTATCAAAAGATCATCCATTTCTATGGAGTAACTTTGGAAGAAAAAAGTTACTTAAACTTTGATAATAGTAAATGAAAGAGGAGTGATGATGATGATAATGTGTCGATTTGTCAATGATGTGTATTGACGCTAATCCAATCATGTGTATCTCGCACTCGAAGGGAGGGATAGAAGAAAAAAAGAAGCATTTTCAATGTTTCACCACAAACAAAGTTTTCTTCTTCTTCTTCCTTTCCCATTTTTACCTTTTACCTGGATTTTTACTCTATTTTGGTGTCACCCCCTCGTCTCTGTCATAACCTTTACCACCTTGAAAATGCAAATACAATTGATCACAATGATAACTTTATAATAGCACATGAAAGAAACTGTCAAACAAAAATCAGCACGTTAAGATGATTCCATTGACAAATCATTGTTATTATTACATTTTTTATTTTGTCATAATCGTAATAATAACAATCAATAGTAGTATGTGTGTCCACATACATTAGAGAGAGAGAGAGAGAGAGAGAGAGAGTAAAAGTTTCTCCTCATTAGAAGATATTAAGTTTTGAATGAATTAGAACGAAAAAAAGTTCGATTTTTTTAATATTTGTCTCATAATAATGATTTTATTGATACAATGGAAATGTCATTCTCATAAATATATAAGAAAAGTAAAACAGTTTCGTGATTGACTGATAACTTTTACCTTGTCAAGACCAAAGATGTAACAATGACAAAAAATATATTAATAGTAGACGCGAGTCAAAGGTATTCAATGGTATTATTATTATGAATCTTATTGTTATCATTATTGAATTAAAATTAAGCCCTAAAGGCATTTTTCATGGTACCTCCACAGGAATATAGAGAGAGACTAATGAGTCCTAATGGTTGAAAATTATTCATACATTATCAATATAAGAATAAGATGCTTCTCAATGAAGGAAAATACTATTTCAAAATTTTATCAACCTGATGATAACTTTATCAATTTGATAACAAAATAACAAATATAAGTAATAACCATTAGCTATTATTATCTACCTGTAAATAATTTCCAGGTAATCTATTTATGTAGATCTATGTCTGTGTGTGGTGTTGATGAGGATGATTCTATTTACCGGATTGATTGAAAGAAAATCCTTCTAATTGTATTTGTGCAATCAATTGATCAACGTAAACCAAGCACATATAAACTCAACAGTGTGTTTGTTTATTGTCATTTGATCGTCTTGATTTGACAAACTAATAATGATAATAATAGATTGAAAAGTAGGAGTGATGAAGGTACAGTCGTGGTGATTTTTTCTTCTGCAGGCCTAACCTCATAAGTATATATACAAAATTACCATTGATTTTTAATGCTATTATTAGATTGATGATAAATGTGTCTACTTGTGTGAGCCCTGCAAATGTTTAGCAACTGTATTTTAGAGCCTTGAATATTAACAATGATAACATGATAATAGTAAAGATGACAAAAGACATGACAATGTATTTTTTATGCATGAAGATAAAAAGCAAACTACATATACAACTGATAGTATTATAATCATCATTATCATCATCATCAGCATCTTCATCGTCAGTTTAACAAAGATATTATTATTAGCATTTAGATCACATTATCAATTGGTTGGTTTAAAGCTCAATTAGGGAGTTAAATTGTTAACAATGAAGAGACACAAATTAAATCAACCCAATCTCATCCGGGAATCTCACTAATACTATTAACAGGTAAAAGGAGACAAGGGGAAGAGGTTAGGAAGATAAAGAAGATAAAAAAAAAGGTAAGCTTTAAGTTCATTCAAGTAGTTGGAATACACTTACGGTTCTTTTAATCATTTCTTTATTTTTCTCTTTCTTTACCTTTCGTCCTCATCATCCTAATCATCATCTTCTCATCTTGCACAAGATAACACATTGTATTCATTATTATGTGTATTTGTATGGGCACAAATAGTTACTATAGTAAAATGCTGAATATTGTACTTGGATAGACGAGGGTATTCATTGTAAGTTATTAGAGTATATCATTGATTAGTATGAAAGGTAAATTGTCATAGAAAAATTTATGAACTCACAAGAATAAGTCAATTAGGTTAAATTGTTAATTTCAACATTTCTCATCCTTTTACTACGATTAATTCAACTGATAGTAATTTGACAGAGTTATAATGAAGATGATTATCATAATGATCATGATCACATATCATGTAGATTTAAACAGCTTAACTTTTTGGTTACTTGATTAACTTAATCAACTAAAGGTAAATGCGATAATCGTTGGACATTGTATTCACCCATAGTTATCAATTGATCTTATGGATACATTTTTAAATATCCTTAATTTTCTGATTGTTGTCATTCATTGACATATAATAGATTGTAAAGAAAAAAGGTAAATTCAAAGTTTCCGTTGACTTTGATAATACAATTTACCTATGGAAAAGGTCAAGAGCTTTTCTATTAGCTTACTACTGTTTTCTTTTGCTGCAAAACAAAACAATCACTTCCGTTTCCTTATATCTTGGACTTTATATTACATATGGATACAAAAAATACTCTTATTGTCATTTATTATTACAATTGCAAGGACAAAACGACTACATCAAGTATTTATTATTATTATATTCAATTGATGAGGATAACAAATATTGTATTTAAATTGTTGTTGAAGTTTATTTTCATCTCATGCAAATTGTGTTAATGTTTTCACTTTAGTTGTTGATGTTATTTAAAAGTATCATTGACACACCTTTGATTATCTCGTTTAAATATTCAAATTTTGTGTGCTGATTGAGAAAAAAATTTATAAACAAAGTGACCAATGGCCGAAAAGTTATTTATTTACTGGAAAATATTGACTATATAGCTAATTAAAGTGAATCAATTAATTGACCATGAAACCGATGTTTGTACAAGATTTTGCTTTGATTGTTGTCTTAAGATGTATTGATTACAAGTAGTGGTCAAGTTAAAGTGAAACCTTTTGACCACTATCATAATCAATGACCCTTTTATACTTGATGGGAATCAAGAAAATCGGACAATAGGACATGAGAATTAATTTTGTTTCAAATTGTCCGAATGGTTTAATGATTGGACACTTTGTTTGTGTACAATTTCAGGTCTAAATTCAATCAATAGGAGAACAGTTGAAAAGCCATCGAAAGTAATAACAACAATAATAATGATGATGATGATGAAAGAGTGAGAGAGAAAAAAAAAACTTGATGACAATAATATAAATGAAAACGAATCGACAGAAAATAATATCAACCTCTTATCTGAAAGGAAAATGTGACAAAATCAAGTCTCTTATGTGTAGTTATTATTATCAACTTCGAATGATACTTGAAAATGTTACAACAAAAAGAAAACTTCCTTCGAGTTCTGAGTGTCGAGAATTTTTGTAAGTTCGTAATGTGATTCATGTCAAATACAGTTGAGAAATCGAGATGATATATTATACATGGAACTATGTGCTGATGATGGTAAAGAGGAAAAGGAAATGATGAGAATAAGTAGAGTAGAAAAAAAGTTCGACCTTACATATTATTTATATGGTAAATTTGTATCAACAGTTTTACCAATTGAATTATTTTCAAGTAACAACATCAACACGATTTTAATAATATTAATCATATTGTATCATTAATTTGAGAACCAGCTCAACAATTTAGCTATGGTTGACATTGGCAAAGTTAAATTGAATGGTTACACTTTCAGAGAGAGTGAATCATTTTATCATCACTATGATAATATGTAAATGACTTTCTATGATAATCTGTTATTAACATTGGCACATAATATGACCACAGGCGCTTAAACGGTTAGGGAAGTGGAAAGGGAAAACTAAAAAAGTTATCCAATAGTTGATAGATAATATCAAATGAGATTAGTGATGGTTTTCAAAAGCAAATACATTTATCTCAATGAAAATCTTGATGTGATTATGGTAAATGCTTTCATAATGATATCTAATGTTTGGATACAGATTAGCATCGAGTTAGATGAATTACATTTTCGAAACAATTTATGAATAAAGTTGATTAACTTTTTTTCTCTTCTACTATTGAGTGGAAACAAGATTCTATCGTTTTTTTTAATATCTTCTTGGAATATTTGAATTCTGTGATGATGAAAAAGGTTTTCTAAAATAAAGTAAATAAAATATTCAACTGACAGGAAGATTAATCAACTTTTCATTAACAATTAATGATCAAAGAGCTTGTGTTTGTATTAAATGATAGCGATAAGCTTGAGATATATTTTCTTAATGGATTATTAATATTTTATGCTGATAACTTTGTGTTAATCTGTATTGGGTTTTAATTGTAGTCATTGATTTTAAATACTCGTGGGATTAAGTTTGACTTTTCAATTGAATTATATTAATTGTCTCTTACCTGGTGTATTGTTATGAGTTGGACTAGATGGTTCTTGGCTCTTTACTCCGGTTGTGTTTCTTACATGAAGATCCATGGGCTCTTTTTTACATGAAGACTTCTTTTCTTTACGATTCACTTTGGTTCCATTTGATGATTCATTCTGATTTTCTTCATCGCCATTTGATTTACTATTATTTGCCTAAAGAGAGAGAGAGAGAGTAATTGTTATTAGGATGATTAGATGAGTTTCTCTGGTCGGTCTCTTTTTCTTTTGTGTTTAAACTCACTGGTACTTGGATGATCTGGGCCATTGCGGCGGAAAATGTTAGTCCCGCTCGGTGCATGGCCATTATACCTTCGTGGCAGCCATACAGCATTGATAATTCTCGAGCTTCGTTTTCTTCTTGGGCCTGTTGCCGTCGAAGAGCAACCTGAGCGGCCATAACTCGCTGACGTTCAGCAATAAGAGTACATTTTGCACAAGAACAATCTTTCCATCGGCAATAACGTTTGTGTCCCTTGGATAGAAATCATTTCACGAATTAGGATTTGTCTCTTTTTTAGCTCACTCGATAAAATAAACTATTCTTACCTTTAAAGCTGAGACAACTCCATGGTTTCGACATCGAGCACATTTAGGTGTACGTTGATATCTTTCAGCGGCAGATCTAAGCAACAAAGCCGATGGACTTGCCGTTGGAACTGGACTTGTGGGTGATGAACTATCCATTATTCAAATTGATAACTGTTACAGATTTGAAAGCTGAAAAATCACTTAGATTTGAAACTTTTTCGTATATTAAAAAATTTTGATAATCACAAAACTTAAAAGTTAAAATAAAGCAAATTTAATCATAAGATGATAACTATATGGATGAAAAAACACTTTAATCACAATTAAATGTTTTCACTTCGACGGGACATTTGCAAGTAACTATAAGAGATAAATATTGAATGGAATACACAAATTTTGTTTGATCGAAACTTATTTTCATCTATGAGAATACTAGAGAAAGTAATAGTGGCAATAGCGAGGAGAGGAAGAGAGAGAGAGAGATATTTACTCTCGAAATAATATCATATACTCTATCATTGTTATTACTTCAATAGAATATTATTATTCGATGAAAATGGTGATGCGAAAAAAGAATCATATTTGAACATTCGAGTTATATTGTTAGAACATGATTCTCATTGGCTAAGAAAACAACAGTAACTATTACTTCAACTGTAACAATTATCATTTTAAATAAACATTCGAAAATCAATCCGATCGCAATTAATTAACCAATCTAATCAACTTCACCAAAAATAATCGCCCAACAACTTTCACGGTCTAAAATCACTATTATATTACATTTCTCAGTGACTTTCCTTGAGTTCTAGTTCGAGAACTAATTAATCGAGTTCTCATTTGGTTTAGTCAAAATAGATGGCACATTTTCACGATGAGTTTTCATTGACTTTCGGAAGTTCTCAATTCATTTGGTCAAGTTCTCGATGAATTTAGTCGATTAGCCTTTACATTGAGTAAAAATTAAACTTTTCAATTCAATTCATTTTAATTATTTTTTACCTTTTGAAACAAAGACTATTATAGGATTGATTTTTATTCATTATTTTTGCTATGATTTTCACAGTTGTTGATTAATTACGTCAACAATTGATTCTCATTTTTTTCCAAATTTAATCAAAAGGCAAAACACTAAAGAAATTTGATTGATAAATATTTAATCATTCCGATACTTTTTTTACTCTATTAACAGATAATCTGTAACATTAATTAATTTATCTTTATTAAAATGATTTACTAATCAAATTTAATTTCTAAAAAGTGAAAACAATCAAACTGATTAAATCAATTGATTGTTAACCTTTTACTCTTTTGAAATGAGCGCTTAATGTTCACCCAACTCGTTGTCATGGTTACGGTTGTTGTTTGTTTTTCTGAGTTCATGTTGACAATTTAATTTGATTTTCTTTCGTTTTAATTGTTTAATTATTGGTTTTGTTTTGTTTGTTTCTTCATTTTTACAGAAATGTCTCTTTTGATGGGAAAGGTGTGCGAAGCTGTGGGCAAGAATATTGTTCGTGTTGCTATTCCTCAATTGAAATTCGATTCATTTCTTGTTACTCATTTCAGAGATTCAAGTGAATTACATGCGTTGGATAAAAAAGGAGAGTCAAAGGTTGGCGATTGGGTGATTGTCTCTAAATTACCAGAGAGGATCAGTTTAAAGGTCGAACATTCTGTTGAACAAGTGGTCTATAAATGTGGGCACATAATCGATCCATTAACGGGCAAACGATGTTTCCAATACCATTACGATGAAAGTGGTTCAAAAGAAAATCAGAATTCTAGTCCAAATGAAAAACTGTAGAGGAAACGATTGATTATTGATTAAAATCATTGGAATCATTTGAATATCATCCTGCCGTCTTCATCTCTCGGTACAGCAACATCAGGTGCTCATATAGCCAAAGATAGATTAACATCAATAGAAATTCGTGATTTATTACGTACAGAAATAGATAAAGAGTAATGGACCAATAAAAGCCCAAACAATCACATCACCGTAACCATTACACCAAAGATATTTAAAACAAGCTCATCCTCATAACCATTTAAAGGTTAATCGGGTGATGGATCGCCAGATTCAATAAGAATTAGGGTGAAACCTTTGGTCTTCCTTCGAGGATCCTTCTTAAACCGGGTGGTTACAATGATCCTAATTCACCTTTATCAATACCAACAACTGATAATAGGAATGAAATAATTAACAATTGACAGCTAAAACATCAACTATTCAATCAGATACATATGAGTTACGAGTTGGACTGGATGATTCTTGGTTCTTTACCTTTGTGATTCTTAAATGAAGATACATCGCCTCTTTTTTACATGAAGATTGTTTGATTGATAAGATTTGAAACTTTTTCGTATATTAAAAAAGTTGGACAATCACAAAACTTTAAAGTTAAAATAATGAAAAGTTCATTATAAGATGATAACTTTATGGATAGAAGAGGAAGAAGAAGAAGAAGAAGAAGAAGAAGAAGAAGAAGAAGAAGAAGAAGAACTGCAATTATCAATTTCGCAAAGACTATTTTTCTTGATTTCTTCAGCTTTTCGCTGTTGTTTAATTAATCTTTTGATAGTTCGTCGTTTAGCCGAAACCAGCCTATGAGAGAACCAATTCTCTAGATTAATAGCCGAGTCTTTGTAAATTCTTTCAAGTAGCTGTTCAGGATTCTGAAAATGATCAACGAATGATACGAATTAATTTATGTCAGCAATAAAAAGTTAACTCGAAAAATTAAATTAACCTCTTAGGAAATTCTCAATAGATTGTAGTACATAGAGACCTGAGTCGAAATCATTGTTTTGCTTAGGCACCTTGAGATAAATATCAGGCATTACCCTTCTACTAAAATTTTTCTTCGTCGTTTTCTCTGACTCCCATTCCTTAGCTAGAAAGTGTCGTAATGGTGCAGCTAATCCACATTTATGATTAGCACTTTGAAGTGAATCTAAGAAAAGTATTCGAGGTCTAGAGAAAGAGATATAAATATATATAAAGTAATGAGTTTCAAAACTGATAATTAATAAAATAAATCTAATACCTTTTAGCACTTTTCTCATTGAATGCAACTTCGTCCAGGAGAGGAACTTTTCTTGGATAACAAATGATCGCCAAAAACCAATGACAGGATTTATGAATTGGTATAATTAGAAAGTCCTTTTCGAAAATGTTCACATTTATTGTCCAATTCTTTACTCTATTGTAGTATCTATCAAGCCTGAAACAAAAGGATCGAGTTACTAAAACTGATTATCATTTTATTCACTGTTGACTTATTACAGTTGAAAAGAGAACCTTCGAAGAAAGCTCGACAACAGTACATAAGTCATCAGGAATGAGAATTCAACTCGTACGTACGTTTTTACCCTGGGTTTAACCTCTGATATTTGAGGTCATTGGTAAGTTGTAGTAAAAGATGAACTGAAAGCATCTTTCGGCGATATCTGGAGATGTCAAGTCTTTTCAATATACCTATGAATCGAAGATAATGTGATGAGTATTAGTAAAGATTAAGCCTATGATTAATGTTCAACGATAAAATTGCTTACTTAAGATAGAAACCCAAGATTGCATCATTTATTTGTTGCCCTTCCTCCAAACAAGCGAGATCCGATTGACGAATTGAGATATGTTCAACTTCGTAAATGGGAATAGGTGGATAACTGAAGAGACGATCGTCACTGGATAAAGAGAGATTATTATATAATTATTAATACACAAAGAGCGATCACTAAAAGCTAACAAAACTCATCACCGCTCAATTGTGATCTAGAAAAATTACCATTTGATACTGCGGCATTTGAGTTTCAATTTCATCTTCACTGTTCATCTCAACAATGGAGGTCGTTTCATCTATTTTCAATTCGAAGTCTTCTTTACTCTTAGCCAATTTAGGAGGAAAGGTGATTTAAAAGTGGATGAAGACGTGGATGATGTTGCTGTCGTTGTTGAGAAGAGTTATTTAATAAATCGAAGTATTGATGAGCACTAACAGATAGATTTCTATCAAGTTTCCAAGTGACAGTATTAAAGATGGCGAAATACTCTTCCAAAAGATTTCGAATTTCTTCATTCTTTCCGTTCAATTGCACTGCCACACGAATGGTTCCTTCTGTCACAATTAGAATCAAAATTGATAAGAATATTTGTATTTATTATATTCTATGTGTATGAGCTGCTAAAGTGAATAAGAATTGAACAAAGAATAATGAAACAGATAAAAACTAATATAATCACCTTGATCCCGTTGTATTTGTAAAGCTTCGCATATTTTGAAACTCGAACTTGGAACGGTTTCTATGATCAGGGTTAAAAATTCTGTTCTATCGAAATAGGCTCTTTGTATATCAATTGGAGAAATGGTAATAGCCAAACTCGGTCTTTCTGGTGCAGATACTTGAACAAACTTAATACCTTTTGAGATTAAATGAATCTCTTTACAGGTGAATTTATAAATACCGAAGTAGACAGAATTGTTGTGAACTGATAAAGTTTGATTAACCTCCATGTTAAACACTGAATTATCGTAATTTGGACTTGAAACATTCGTTTTTCGTGTTGATGATTGCTGAGAATGATTGTTTAAGAAATCAAGGTATTTATGGACACTTCGAGATAAAACTTTCTCAAATTTCCACGTCAATGAAGTATAGCACGAAAAATATTCATCCAATATTTTGTAAATTTCTTCACCTTGTCCGCTAAATTGAAAAAGAACACGAATGGATCCTCCTGGTTGAATTGAAAGAAAATCACAATCACAATTAGAAAATAAAAGCAAACAAGAGAAGAATTTGAAACAAAGAAACAATGGTGATATTAAAAAAGCTCTTAATCATTAAAGTTAAAGTGAAAATGGAGCTATCGTCTTGATTGGGTCTTATTTTCAATGCGCTCCTTATTTTAGTTCCAGATTGAGGAACGGTGTCAATTATCAGGGTTGACAAATTTTCACCGGTTTTACTGTCCAAATAGGCCTTTGTATTTCAATTGGTGGAATGGTGATGTCGAAACGAGATCTTTCTTGTAATCGGCCAACTTGGAAAACTTAAAGCCTGCTGAAATTAAACGAATTTCATCACAGCAAAACTTATGAATACCGAAGTAGACAATGTTATTGTAAATCGACAAATTTGGACAAACAGACATTAGACTTCAAATTGTCTTTAAGACAATGTCTTATAAAGATGACCGTTTGAAACAACACAAAGAAGCAATTTTCTAAAAGAAAATCTCAAGGAAAACAAGTTGAGAGGGAAGAACGAGTTCCAAAAAAATCCAACTCATTGATGAAAGTTGAGCCTGCAGAAGTGATTAAAGAGTGTAACGTAAGGGTGATTAATCCTGCAAGTGATTAGCGGTTAGTTTAATCTTTCAAAAAAGATCAGTTTAAAGGTCGGACGTTCATACTCTCTTCAACTTCTGCTTTAAACATTATCTCCAGCGTTGGATTGGCGTATAAAAATATTAGATCACGATTGATTAATCAGTAACAAATTTAGTAACTCACTCACCATCTGAATCACCTTTATTATTATCATCGTCATCATCAATCACTTGCCATCTTCATCACCTCCTTCATCTCTCAGTTGCAACAACATTAGGTTACCATATAGCAAGATAGATTAACATCAATAGATATTCGTGATTTATTGCGAAAGAATTAGATGAAGAGTAATGGAACAACAAAGCAACAACTGAATAACAACACAACAATCACATTCACATTCACAACAAGCTCAATAACTTTTACCATCCTCATCAGTTAATCTGTTTATACCGCCAAAAGAGATGATCCTGATAGATTAGCTTAATAAAAACAAGTATGGTTATTGGTTCTCAATCACAGTCTCCAAATAGGATAAACGGTATAACCAATGGTCATAGTCGAGTCCACCGGTATTAATATCCTTGTATTTAAACCTAATACACCATTTAAAGGTCCATCAGATTCTAATAAGAATTGGGGTGAAACCTTTGAAACCTTTCCTCCGAGGATCCCTTTTAAACCGGGTGGTTAACATGTTATGAGTTGGATGGGATTATTCTTGCTTCTTTATCCCGGTTGTGATTCTTACATGAAGATTGTTTGATTGATAAGATTTGAAACTTTTTTTTCGATAGAAAAGTTTGACAATCACAAAACTTTAAAGTTAAAATAATGAAAAGTTCATTAAAAGATGATAACTTTATGGATGAAAAAACACTCTGGTCACAATTAAATTTTTTCAAGAATTAGTGCGTAAAAGTTAATCAGAAGAAGAAGAAGAATTGCAATCATCAATTTCGCAAAGACTATTTTTCTTGATTTCTTCAGCTTTTTGCTGTTGTTTAATTAATCTTTCAATAGTTCGTCGTTTAGCCGAAACCAGTCTGTGAGAGAACCAATCCTCTAGATTAATAGCCGGGTCTTTGGAAACTTTTTCAAGTAAATGATCAGGATTCTGGAAATGATCAACAACAAGTGAAATGAATAATTTCTGTGAGAAACGAGAAAAAGTTAATTCAACCTTAAATTAACTTACTCTAAGGAAATTCTCGATATATTGTAGTACATAGAGACCTGAGTCGAATTGATTTGTTTGCTTAGGCACTTTGAGATAAATATCAGGCATTACACTTTTACTAAAACTTTTCTCAGTCGTTTTCTTTGATTCCCATTCTTTAGCTAGAAAGAGTCGTAATGGTCCAGATAATCCAGATTTACGATGATCTAGTTGAGTCGAGTCCATGAAAAGTATGCGAGGCCTAAAAAGAGAACAAATTTCAGGATAAGATATCATTGAATTAGACATGAATTTAAATTAAACTAATGAAATTAATCTAAAACCTTTTTGAACTTTTCGCATTGAATGCTGCTTTGTCCATGAGAGGAACTTTTCTTGGATAACAAATGATTGCCAAAAACCAATGACAGAATTTATGAATTGGTATAATTAAAAAGTCCTTTTCGAAAATGTTCACATTTTTTGTCCAATTCTCCACTCTATTGTGGTGTCTATTAGAAAGCCAGAACAGATTGGAGAGAGAATAGATTAAAATTGGATAGAAAAATTAAGAATGATTTGAAGATTTTTAAGTACGATTACACAAATGACAGAGCTGCTGAAATTGATTATCATAATTTACAGTTTAAATAGAGAACTTTCAAGGAAACGACTCGATGAACAGTTAATAAGTCAACAAACATAAGAATTTAAATCGTACGTACATTCTTATGCCCCTGAAACCACACTTCGATGCTCGCCATTTACGGGTAAGATTGTAGTAAAGAGATGAACTGAAAATGTAGCATCTTTCGGCGATGTCTGGGGATGTTAAGTCTTTTCGATATACCTATGAATTAAAGAGAAAGTGTGAGTATTAGTAAATTAAGCCTATTATTAATTTTCAAAGATAAAGAAACTTACTTGAGATAGAAACCAAAGATTGTATCATTTATGTTTGCCCTTCCTCCAAACAAGCGAGATCCGATTGACGGATTGAGATATGTTCAACTTCGTCAATAGGTGGATAACTGAAGAGACGATCATCACTGGATAAGAAGAAGATTATATTTTAGATTATATACATAATACGAGTGATCATTAAAAAGTCATCACCGCTCAATTGTGATCTAGAATAAATTACCTATTTGATACTACGGTATTTGCGTTTCCAATTTCATCTTCACTATTGATCTCAACAATGGAAGTCGTTTCGTCTGTTTTTTAATTCGAAGTCTTCTTTACTCTTAGGAATGAAGATGGAGGGACGTTGAAGATTTTACTGTCGGTTGTTGAGAAGAGTTATTTAATAAGTCGAAGTATTGATGAGCACTAACAGATAGATTTCTATCAAGTTTCCAAGTGACAGTATTGAAGGTGGCGAAATACTCTTCCAATAGATTTTGAATTTCTTCATTCTTTCCGTTCAATTGCACTGCCACACGAATGGTTCCTTCTGGTACAATTAGAATCAAAAAACTTATGAATAAGTAGAAATAGCTTTAGATAGATTTAAGAAAGGGACAAGTAAAGCTAAATAGCTTCTTCATCTTCGATTAAGTGTATAAGATTCATAAATTGAATAACAATTGGATAAGAGTTGAAAAAAAAGTGAAAGAGCAATGAAAACAAATACATACCCATGTGATCACCTTGATTCCGTTGTATTTGTAATGATTCGCATATTTTGAAACTCGAACTTGGAACAGTTTCTATGATCAGGGTTAACAATTCTGTTCTACTATCGAAATAGGCTCTTTGTATATCAATTGGAGAAATGGTAATGGCCAAATTCGGTCTTCCTGGTGAAGAAACTCGAACAAACTTAATACCTGCTGAGATTAAATGAATCTCTTTACAGGTGAATTTATGAATACCGAATAAGACAGAATTGTTGTGAACTGATAAAGTTTGATTAACCTCCATGTTAAACACGAAATTGTCTGAATTTGAACTTGAATAGTTCGTTTCGTGTTGATGATTGTTGAGAATGATTGTTCAAGAAATCAAGATATTTATGGACACTTCGTGATAAAACTCTCTCAAATTTCCAAGTCAATACATTAAAGCACGAAAAATATTCATCCAATATTCTGTGAATTTCAGCACCTTTTCCGGCAAATTGAATAAGAACACGAATGGATTCTTGAAGTTTAATTGAGCAAAAAAAACAGAGTAGAAAATTAGTACAAAAAAAGTCAAAAAGTTTAGTTTGGTTACAATCAAACTCTGAAGGTGATCAAAGTGACAAACAAATAAATACCTTGATTGTCTCCATGGGCTGGATTTGGTTTAATTTGTAATTCTTTGCTTATTTTAATTCCAGATTCAGGAACAGTTTCTATGATCAGGGTTGACAAATTGTCACCAGTTTTACTGTCAAAATAAGCTCGTCGTATATCAATTGGTGGAATGAAAACATCGGAAAATGTGAAATCTTCATCTTAATATTTACCAACTTAATTCCTCTTGACAAAACGAACTTCTTTACAGGTGAATTTATGAACACCAAAGTAGACTGAGTGTTTGTAAACGGTTAAAAGTTGATCATCCATGTGAGACATCAAATTGTATAAAAAAGACAGAGAGAGAATTTCGAACGAGTCAAAGTAAAAAACAGAAAGAAAAACACGTGGATAGATAAGAACGATGGAGATTTATAGAGAGATTTAAATATTAGCAAAAACCAGAATTTTATTGAAACTTTTTCGTTCCAAGTTGCCAACAAAAAGTAAACACTTACGACTTGACCAAAGTCACTTGACCAATAAGAAGTTGATTTTCTCTCCCGCGAAATTTGAAGTCAAATAATCGATTTTTTGTTCGAGTTTCGATTCATTGAAAAATCTAAGAACGGAACATCTCAGAGAGAATAACTTTTCCATTTTCCCTCTCTTCAAGTTACACATAGAATAAAGTTTGATTGAATGTCAATTTTTGACCAACAATTAGGTTGCCATCATAGAGATTTACAATTCTACAGATTAGATTCTACAGATTAACTTCTCATAGATGATGGATTAACTTTTGAATAAATTGAATCAAACACATTAATTTTCAATAACAAAGATAATCTTGTACGAGTTCCAAAAAATCCAACAATTGGATTCCAACTCATTGATGGTAGTTGAGCCTGCAGAAGTGATTAAAGAGTGTAACGTAAGGGTGATTAATCCTGCAAATAATTAGCGGTTAGTTTAATCTTCCAAAAAAGATCAGTTTAAAGGTCGGACGTTCACACTCTCTTCAACTTCTCCTTTAAATATTATCTCCAGCTGAAGGTTTAATTTACTTAATCTTGATTAATCACTTAATTCTCTGGAACAAATGATGAGTAAGAATCAGTAATGTTAACAATTGATTCACTTTTAAGTCGTTAAATTACAACAAAAATTGAATCAGATCAATTGGCAAAGTATTGGGTTAGTCTCAAAGAAAAGGTAAATTAACAAGTTAATCAGTGGAATTCCGAATCTGTCCTTCACTAATACAGATCAATTTAAGGTTCGAATGGAGATTTCAATTAATAAATAATAACACAGAATTTAACTAATATAATTAATCTTTTATTTTGACAAAATCTCATAAGAGTAAAGGTAAAGATAATTGAAAATTCATTAAGTGAGAAACATGAATCGTATTCTGGTGAAAAGTTAGAATAAGACTGATCCATAATTAACTTCATCTTCTATTTATAAATTTTCTTCATTGAAATTTTGACCGTTAATTGTTACCATTTAACCAGAAAATCTATCATAAGATAATCAATCATTTTCATCAAATTTCAGTTAAGTTAACTTATTGTTTTTCTTGATGATGATTGATGTTAATTTTGAGACAATTTTAGTGAACATTTTATCTTAAGATAAATAAAAGAAAAGAAAATTAATGAAAAAGAAAAAGAAAGAAAAGAAGAGAATAGACTTTCTGTCTGTTCAAGAGGTTAATTGGTAATGTGAGACATCAAGTCTGATTGTTTTGTTAATCTTTTTTCTTGGAGAAATATCAGTTATGTGTTAATAGTCACATAAACAAGTTGTTCTATTATTATTAAACTGTGATTGGTAATCTATTTTAACTGAATCTAATTACTGTGAGTAACTAAAGTTAATTGTTGAGATTAAATGAAGTAAAATGATTAAAGTTAATTGTTAACCAGAAATTAACAAATGAACTGAGAGGTTCGTGATGATCAACCCTACACAGCGTTGGATTGGCGTATAAAAATGGATCACGATTGATTAATCAGTAACAAATTTAGTTGAATTTTAATTTTTGATCAACAATATGGTTGCTATCACAGTCATTATAAACCATTCAACTAAACACTGGTTGAGGATTAATTTCTGAACGGATGGATTTACAATCAAAGCAATTGAATCAAACAAATAAACTTGACAAGTTTAACTTGTCAATAACAGAGATAATCTTGTGATAGTTTCTTTTACAGTAACAACTAGTTAACGAGATGATAACAATGTTGTGATGTTAATTGATTAACGATTGAATATGCACTATTTCCCTGTCGTTTCTCTTGTCAATGAATTGTTTGTGAATAGTTTGGAAATACATGATAAACAGAGTATATAAGTGAAAGAAATGATAATAAATAATCTCTGGTAACTGGAATTTTGATGTATTCATTTAGGTGCAGTTGATTCATCAAGAATTAGTAAGTAGAAATTTCGGAATCAGCAAAAGAATAAGAACTAGAAGAAGAAGAAGAAGAAGAAGAAGAGATTTCTTCATCGGTTTCACAAAGACTATTTTTCTTGATTTCTTCAGCTTTTCGCTGTTGTTTAATTAATCTTTTGATAGTTCGTCGTTTAGCCGAAACCAGTCTGTGAGAGAACCAATCCTCTAGATTAATAGCCGTGTCTTTGGAAACTTTGTCAAGTAAATGATCAGGATTCTGGAAATGATCAACAATAAATGAAATGAGTTAATTTATGTTTGAAACAAGCAAAAGTTAATTCAACCTATAAATTAACTTACTCTAAGGAAATTCTCGATATATTGTAGTACATAGAGACCTGAGTCGAAATCATTGTTTTGCTTAGGCACCTTGAGATAAATATCAGGCATTACACTTTTACTAAAACTTTTCTTAGTCGTTTTCTTTGATTCCCATTCTTTAGCTAGAAAGTGTCTTAATGGTGCAGCTAATCCACATCTACTATGAGCACTTTGAGTCGAGTCCATGAAAAGTATGCGAGGCCTAAAAAGAGACCAAATTTCAGGATAAGATATCATTGAATTAGACATGAATTTCAATTAAACTGATGAAATTAATTTAAAACCTTTTTGCATTTTTCTCATTGAATGCAACTTCGTCCATGAGAGGAACTTTTCTTGGAAAACAAATGATCGCCAAAAACCAATGACTGAATTTATGAATTGGTATAATTAGAAAGTCCTTTTCGAAAATGTTCACATTTTTTGTCCAATTCTTTACTCTATTGTAATATTTATCAGAAAGCCTGAAAAGATTGGAGAGAGGATAGATTAAAATTGGATAGATGAATCAAGAATTTTTATCCATGATAACACAATTGACAGAGTTGCTGAAATTGATTATCATTCAATTTACAGTTGAAATAGAGAATCTTCATGGCGAACGATTCGATAAGCAGTAAATAAGTCAACAGGTATAAAATGTACGTACGATTTTCTGCCCGGCGTTGTAACCTCCAATGTTTGAGGTTTATGGGTGAGATTGTAGTAAAAAGATGAACTGAAAATGTAGCATCTTTCGGCGATATCTGGGGATGTTAAGTCTTTTTCAATATACCTATGAATCGAAGATAATGTGATATGTATTAGTAAAAGATTAAGCCTATGATCAATTTTCAACGATAACAATGGCTTACTTAAGATAGAAACCCAGGATTGCATCATTTATTTGTTGCCCTTCCTCCAAACAAGCGAGATCCGATTGACGAATTGAGATATGTTCAACTTCGTAAATGGGAATAGGTGGATAACTGAAGAGACGATCATCACTGGATAAGAAGAAGATTATTATATTAATAACTAATTACATAATAAGAGCGATCACTAAAAAGCAAATTGAACTCATCACCATTCAATTGTGATCTAGAATAAATTACCTATTTGATACTGCGGTATTTGCGTTTTCAATTTTATCTTCACTATTGATCTCAACAATGGAAGTCGTTTCGTCTGTCTTTAAATTCGAAGTCTTCTTTTTACTCTTAACCAATTGAGGGGAAAAAAGAGTACAGGGAGATTTATGAGCGGAAGAAGACGTTGAAGATTTTACTGTCGGTTGTTGAGAAGAGTTATTTAATAAATCGAAGTATTGATGAGCACTAACAGATAGATTTCTGTCAAGTTTCCAAGTGACAGTATTGAAGGTGGCGAAATACTCTTCCAATAGATTTTGAATTTCTTCATTCTTTCCGTTCAATTGCACTGCGACACGAATTGTTCCTTCTGGTACAATTAGAATAAAAAAACTTATGAATAAGTAGAAATAGCTTTAGATAGATTTAAGAAAGGGACAAGTAAAGCTAAATAGCTTCTTCATCTTCGATTAAGTGTATGAGATACATAAATTGAATAACAATTGGATAAGAATTGAAAAAAAGTGAAAGAGCAATGAAAACAAATACATACCCATGTGATCACCTTGATTCCGTTGTATTTGTAATGATTCGCATAGTTTGAAACTCGAACTTGGAACAGTTTCTATGATCAGGGTTGACAAATTCTCACCAGTTTTGCTGTCAAAATAGAACTTTTGTATATCAATCGGAGAAATGGTAATGGCCAAATTCGGTATTCCTGGTGCAGATACTCGAACAAACTTAATACCTTTTGAGATTAAACGAAGCTCTTCACAGGTGAATTTATGAATACCAAATAAAATAGAATTGTTGTGAACCGATAAAGTTTGATTAACCTCCATGTTGAACACGAAATTGTCTGAGTTTGAACTTGAAACGTCTATTGCTCGTATTGATGATTGTTGAGAATAATTTTCCAGAAAATCAAGGTATTTATGGACACCTCGCGATAAAACTCTCTCAAGTTTCCAATTCACTTGGCTAAAGAAAGAAAAATATTCATCCAATATTCCTTTAATTTCTTCACCTTTTCCGGTAAATTGAACAAGAATACGAATGGACCCTCCTAGGAAAATTGAGAAGAGGAAAAAAACAAAGTAAGAAATTAGAATAACAAAGCGATGAGATAAAAGATAGAGGGTAAACAAAAGAAAAGCTAAAACCACTCCAGATAAATTATACCTCGAGAATTATATTACAATTAAGGGAGAGACAAAAAAAGAGCAGTTAACTGCTATATGGACGCTAACATCGAGACATTAATTGTGATAAAAAACACACAAGTCAATAAGTGGGAAGTGACAGTTGACCGAGATAAACTGTGTTGGGACAAAAATTAGATAACCACCAAAATAAATAAGTGAAATAGAGATACCTGAATTAGCAGCTTGATTAAGTTTCAATTTCAAACATATTAGCATCCCAGATTCAGGAACAGTTTCTGCGATCAGGGTTGACAAATTGCCTCCAGTTTTACTGTCAAAATAGGCTTTTTTTATATCAATTGGAGGAATGGTGATGTTGAAACGAGGTTTTTCTTGGACTTGACAAACTTGGTGAAACTTGAGGCCTCCTGGAAGCAAATGAATTTCATCACAGTAAAATTTATCAACACCAAAGTAGACAATGTCATTGTAAATCGATAAAGTTTGATTAACCATGAGAGATATCAAATTGTCGCAGTTAAGATGACAGGAAGAGGGAATAAGGAAACATCAACAGCGTACAACTGGGAGAGAAACAAGTTGATAAGGAAGAACGAGAATAAAAAATAGAAACAATTGCTCGATTGTTGAAGAAAATAAATTGCTTGACTGAAGATTGAAGATCGTACATCAAAAAATTCAGCTCATAATGGAGAAAATTGAAAATTAATTCTAATTTAGAGTTTATAAAGTTTTGATTGTAAATAATTAAGGAATTGTTGATAAAGGGAATAGAAAAAAAGCTAAACAGAAAAAACTCTTTTCTCCCGCGAAATTTGAAAGATAAATTCTAAGTAATTTCGATCCATCAAAATCCTTGGAACTTGTATGCGAAAAGCAATTCGAGCCATTATTTTGTCCTCTTTTCTACGAATATTTTCTCGCCAATTTAATAAACTCGTTGGATTGCAAAATAACAACTTTGATAGAGCAACGAATGGATTTTTGAAAACTTTTTTCTTCAAACTTCTCTCTTGAAAACGCTATCAGTTCACGATTGATTCGTAGCATAATTGTTTATGCATTATATCATCTTCTGTTCTCATCAGCAATTATTATCAGTGATTATCATTTAAAATCTTAATCTCCTTATTTACACTTTTGTTCGATCAAATTTTTGATTGTTCGTCGTTTAGAAGAGACATGAGAAAGAGAAAACCAATCTTCCAGATTGTAAGCAGGATCTTTGCAAATTCTTTCAAGTAGACAATCAGGATTCTGGAAATGATCAAGAATGAACAAAATGAATGAATTTGAGTTGTCGAAAAGAAAAAGTTAACTGAACCTTCAAATAAACTTACTATTAAGAAATTTTCAATATTTTGTAGTACATAAAGTCCACAGTCGAAGTCGTTAATTTGCTTAGGTAATTTGAGATAAATATCAGGCATTGAACTTTTACTGAAGTTTTTCTTTGACGTTTGATTTGATTCCCATTCTTTAGTTAGAAAGTGTCTTATTGGTTCGGAAAATGCAAGCTCGCTATTAACTATTTGAGCTGAGTCCATGAAAAGTATACAAGGTCTGGAGAGAAAAAAATTTCCATAGGATTAGATATGAATGTCTCATTGAAGAGATTATGAAATCAATCTAATCTCACTACCTTTTGGGACTTTTTTCGATTTCATTAGGTAGAATCTCATTCATCGATGGCACTTTTCTTGGATAACATATGATTACCAAAAACCAATGACCAGATTTGTTAATTGGCATGATTATAAAATCTTTATGGAAGATATTGACATTTTTAGTCCAATTTTTTACTCCTTTGTAGCATCGATCAAATACTCTGCTTAGATTTGTGAGAGAAAATATAAAATTACATGGAAAATTATTAAAGGTGTAAGATAATTGCTAATCATTAGATGACACAAAAGGATATTCACTCGTACAATTTGCTATCCAGAGTTTGAGCCTTTCGCATTCTTTGGGTGAGCTTGTGATAGAAAAATACACTAAATATGTAGCTTCTTTGGGCGATGTCTGATGCTGTTAAGTTTCTCTCGATGTACCTGTGAAAGGGAAAGATGATGTGATTAGCAATTTGAACGAAGACTTTCATTGAGAATTGAAAGATAATTAGCACTCACTTGAGATAGAAACCTAAGATTGTTTCATTTACATGTTGCCCTTCGTCCAAACAAGAAAGATCCGATAGGCGAATTGAGATACGTTCAGTTCTATCGGGTGGATATCTGAAGAGAAGATCATCTCTGGATAAAAAGAATTATAAAAATTACAATTAAGAATAAGCTTTAGAGTTAAGTAAAGTAAATTACTTAGTTGATTTTGAGCCTTTTAAGCGAAACTGGTTTTCAGTAGGATCGTCACGATCGATTTCAATGATGGAACTGGTTGATTTTGGCTTTGAAACATTCGGCCGCCATGTTGATGATGATCGCTGAGAACAATTGTTAATAAAACCTAAGTATTTCTTGACTCTTCGACACGGAGTCATCTCAAGTCTCCATATAACTGAATTAAAGGAGGAAAAACTGTCTTCAAATAAGGATTCAAGGTCTCCCTTTTCATTGTATAATCGAACACCAACAAGAATGGTTCCTTCTAATTACAATATTGAGAAGCACAAAGTACACAAAGTATTAGAAAAATATAAGAAAATAAGAGAAGATCAATTAATTACCTGTGTAATCACTTTGTTTCGGGTCTATTTTTAGTGCTTCTCTTATTAAGCTTGCAGATTCAGGAACAATTTCTAAGACCAGTGTTGAAAAATAATCATCCTTTCATAGTCAAAATAAGCTCGATGTATATGAATGAGTGGAATGGTGATATTAAAACGAGATCCTTCTGATGTTGACAACTGAAAAAACTTAATACGTTCTGAAATTAAACAAAATTGCTCACAGAGAAATCCATGAACACCAAAGTAGACAGAGTTGTAGCAACTAGATAAACTTAAACGATAATCTGACATGATGTTTTCGCATTTAAGATGACAGAAAAAATGAATAAGAAACAGTTGAAACAATCAAAGAAAAGTTGTATCAGAAAGGGATTTTAACCAAGAAAGAGTAGCAAAAGTTAATCGATTTTTGAAGAAGAAAAATCGGAAGAGATCGACGTTCAAAAGATCGATTCAATGATAACCTAATAAAGAGTTAGAACGGAACATCTCAAGAACATTTATAATGTATCGAATTTAAATTGTGCACTGAGGCCAAAAGGTCAGTTTTCTTCATGTGAAAATATCAAAGTTAATCACTTTAGTACCGTATACTTAATATCAATGTAAGTAGTTCAGCTCTTAATTAATGGTGGATCAATATATGATATATGAACTTTTCATTGTTTCTTTTATAGTAAAAATTAAATAAAAAGACTACTGTACAATTAAATTGTAATATCAATTAACCATGTTCATTGATTCATCTTAATCAATTGGCTCGAAATTATCACTCAAAAGTTAAATGGTGCAAAGATTTTTCTCCAATTGTTAGTGAGTTAATAATTAATTTTCTCCAATCCATGAAATTATGGTGTACTCATTTAATCCGAGTAAAATTGATTCCGAATTAGTTAGAAGAAAATCAGCTATCAACTATCATCATCAGTTTCCATCATTTCGCCCTGATGATTTTCTTTCTCTCAGCTGCTTCTCGCTGTTGCTTAATCAATCTTTAATTGTTCGTCGCTGAGAAGAGACCAGTGCAAGAGAAAACCAATCTCCAAGATCAATAGAAGAATCATCTTGGATTTTCTCGAACAAACCATCCGGGTCCTGAAAATGACAAAGAATTAACACAATTAGAGAGAACAAGTTAACCTTCAGATTAACTTACTCTTAGGAAAATCTCAATACATCGTAGTACATAAAGTCCAGAGTCGAAGTCATTGTTTTGCTTAGGCACCTTGAGATAAATATCAGGCATTACACTTTTACTAAAACTTTTCTTTGTTTTTTTCTTTGATTCCCATTCTTTAGCTAGAAATTGCCGTAATGGCTCAGCTAATCTACGTCTACTATTATCTTCTTGCAGTGAATCCATGATTAGTATGCATGGTCTAAATAGGGAAAAGTTTAAGAGGATCAGAGATGAATTTCAGATAAACTTGATGTAATTAAAAAGTACTTTTTTCTTTCTTTGCAGCCGAACCAACGGATAGAACTTTTCTTGGATAACATATGACAACCACTAACCAATGACAATTCTGGAGATTAACTGGGATAATTATAAAGTCTTTTTTGAAGATATCAATATCTTTCGTCCAATTCTTGACTCTATTGTAGTATCCATCAGAAAGCCTGGATAAATTTGTATTAAGAGAATAAATAAAATTAAACAAAGTATCAAATGTTCAATCAATCAAAAAATCAATCAATTCCGATTAAACGAAAACAAGAGTTACTGGTGTTAATTATCATTTGATTTACTGTTGATTATTGATAAATAAGAATCGCCACTTGACCAAAGGTCTGCAGGTTTTGGTTGCACGTACGTTTGGTAGTCCGAAGTCTCAACCTCCTTTGCTTGAGGCACATCAGTGAGCTTGTCATAGAAAAATGAACTAAATAAGTAAATTCTTCTGGAAATATCTGGTGCTGTCAAATCTATTTCGATGTACCTATGAAAGAGAGAAATGAGCATATATGACATAAGAACGAATTAAAGTTTCCATGGTTAGAAATTACTTAAGATAAAATCTAATATTGTATGATTTAAAGACTGTCCTACTTCCAAACAAGACAGATCTGATTTGCGAACTAGGATACTTCCAGTTTCGTCAGGTGGATAACTAAAGAGATGATCATCACTAGATAAAAATCGAAAATTTAAAAATGACAATTATTGATAGAATTATTAATTAGCATTGGGGAATGATAGTCACTGTATGATGAGAGCAAATTGTATTAAATAATTATATTATAAGAATGGTAATTAAGAATAATCTTTAGAACTCGATGTAGATTAAAAGCAGATTGGAGTAAATCACCTATTCGTGACTGTTACGTTACGATCAGTGGCACTTCCAGCATCACGATTTATTTTGTGCCAAGTAATAGTTGTTGATTCATTCGATTTTGATATTGTAGATTCAGTCTTGATCCCAATCTGAATAGGAGTCTGATTTAATTGTAGAAGATGATCCAAGGGAAGATGATGATGATGTTGTTGTTGTGAATAATTGCTTAAGAAATCAAAATATTGATGGACACTAAGAGATAAGGTTCTCTCAAGTTTCCAAGTGATCGAATTGAAGATGGCAAAATATTCTTCCAATGATCTCTGAATTTCTTGACTTTTTCCCTTCAATTGCACAGCAACACGAATGGTTCCTTCTAGTATATTGGACAAGAAACAACAGACAGAAATAAAAAGAGAAGATTAGATCATCGAAGCTAAATTATAATTCGATAGTGTGTTAAATTCATAGTGATTAAGAATTAAGCGAAAACTGATGTTAAGTTAAAGAATAAAAACATACCAATGTGATCACTTTGATTCGGTTTTATTTGTAATGATTCGCATATTTTGAAACTCGAACTTGGAACAGTTTCTAAGATCAGGGTTAACAATTCTGTTCTACTATCGAAATAGGCTCTTTGTATATCAATCGGTGGAATGGTCATAACAAAATCTGGTCTTCCTGGTGAGGAAACTCGAACAAACTTAATACCTGCTGAGATTAAATGAATCTCTTCACAGGTGAATTTATGAACACCAAAGTAGACAGAATTATTGTGAACTGACAAAGTTTGATTAACCTCCATGTTGAACACTGAATTGTCGTAATTTGGACTTGATACGTTCGTTTCTCGTGTTGATGATTGTTGAGAATGATTGTTCAAGAAATCAAGATATTTATGGACACTTCGCGATAAAACTCTCTCAAATTTCCAAGTGAATGCAGCAAAGCACGAAAAATATTCATGCAACTTTCTATGAATTTCTACACCTTTTCCGGCAAATTGAATAAGAACACGAATGGATTCTTGAAGTTTAATTGAACCAAAAAAAAACAGTAGAAAATTAGTACAAAAAAGTCAAAAAAGTTTAGTTTGGTTACAATCAAACTCTGAAGGTGATCAAAGTGACAAACAAATACATACCTTGAGTGTCTCCATGGGCTGGATTGGGTTTAATTTGTAATTCTTTGCTTATTTTAATTCCAGATTCAGGAACAGTTTCTATGATCAGGGTTGACAAATTGTCACCAGTTTTACTGTCAAAATAAGCTCGTCGTATATCAATTGGTGGAATGAAAACATCGGAAAATGTGAAATCTTCCAATCTTAATATTTGGACCAATTTAATTCCTCTTGGGCTTAAACGAACTTCTTTACAGGTGAATTTATGAACACCAAAGTAGACTGAGTGTTTGTAGACGGTTAAAAGTTGATTGTCCATGTGAGACATCAAATTGTCGTATTAAAAAAGAAAAGAGAATTTGGAACCAGCCAAAGTAAAAAACACGTGGATAGATAAGAACGATGGAGATTTATAGAGAGATATAAATATTTGCAGAAACCAGAATTTTATTGAAACTTTTTCGTTCCAACTTGCCAACAAAAAGTAAACACTTGATCCAAGTCACTTGACCAATAAGAAGTTTGATTTTCTCTCCCGCGAAATTTGAATTTGAATAATCGATTTTTTGTTCGAGTTTCGATTCATTGAAAAATCTAAGAACGGAACATCTCAGAGAGAATAACTTTTCCATTTTCCCTCTCTTTAAGTTACACATAGAATAAAGTTTGATTAAATGTCAATTTTTGACCAACAATTAGGTTGCCATCATAGAGATTTACAATTCTAGAGATTAGATTCTACAGATTAACTTCTCATAGATGATGGATTAACTTTTGAATAAATTGAATCAAACACATTAATTTTCAATAACAGATATAATCTTTACATTGCTGCTTTAACTGTAACAAGCAAATAACAAGATTATAATTAGATTATAAAATGGATTACCATTCTTACGGTTGATTCATCTGAATCATTTGGTACGAAATTTATATGAAACGTTAAATAAATGGTACAGAAGATTTTTTTCCAATGATTGAATTGAATCTTCCCTCATTTCTCAAAATTTTTCGTTATAATGTTGATACTAATTATTGAAATGAAATTATCTGGGAGAGAATCAGTTATCAACTAACGTCATCAATTTTCATCATTTAACACCATTTTCATTTTTCTCAGCTGCTTCTCTCTGTTGTTTAATCAATCTTTTGATTGTTCGTCGTTTAGAAGAGGCCAATGTAGAAGAAACCAATCTCCAAGATCAATAGCAGGATCTAAGCAAATTTTTCAAGTAAATAATCAGGATTCTGGAAATGATTAAGGATAAAAAGATGAATTAATCAAAGTTGTCGAAAAGAAAACTTGACTTAACCTTCAAATTAACTTACTCTCAAGAAATTTTCAATGCATGTAATCACATAAAGGCCTCCATCAAAGGCGTTGTATGCTTAGGCACCTTGAGATAAATATCAGGAATTGCACTTTTACCAAAATTTTTCTTTGACGATATCTTGACTTGCCATTCTTTGGTTAGAAAGTGTCTTAATGGTGCAGCTAATCCACATTTATCATGAGCACTTTGAAGTGAATCTAAGAAAAGTATACGGGGCCTAGAGACCAAATTTCAAAAGGATTAGAAATAAATTGCAAATGAAACTGGTGAAATTAATCTAATACCTTTTTGGGTGTTTTTCAATTTCTATCGGTAAATCCTGGCCCATGAATGGAACTTTTCTTGGATAACATATGATTGCCAAAAACCAATGACAAGATTTGTTGATTGGGATAATAATAAAGTCCTTTGCGAATATGTTTATATCTTTTGTCCAATTCTTGACTCTATTGTGATATTTTTCAGAAAGTCTGAATAAATTGAGGGAACAAATAAAATATAATTTATATATCAGAACATTGATGTTGATGAGATAACGAAAAGGCCATAACTACGGAAAAATTAGTGGTCAATTGATTTACTGTTTAGATCTTCACATAAACCAACAGTAAATCAACAGGCATGAAAAATTACATCACACTTACGATTGATGGTCTTCAGCATTCGATGCTCGAGTTTATGGGTGAGCTTGAAGTAAAAAGATGGACTGAAAATGTAGCTTCTTTCGGCAATATTTGGTGATGTTAAGTCTCTCTCGATATATCTATGTAAAGAAGAAAACATGATGAACATTAGATAGACAAAAGAAGACTATGATTAAATTTCATACAGTACTGAATAATGTACTTACTTAAGATAGAAACTCAAGATTTGATCGTTTATTTGTTGCCCTTCCTCCAAACAAGACAGATCAGATTGCCGAATTGAAATACATTCAGTTTCGTTGGGTGGATAACTGAAGAGAACAGCATCACTAGATAAAAAGAAAAGAATTAACAGAACAGCAATTAGATTAAGTCATCGAGCTTGAGTAGACTACCTATTTGATGCTGAGTCGTTTGAGTTACGCTGGTTTCTATTGCGATCTCCATCAATCATGGAAGATGATTCATCTGATTTGGGTCTTAAAACGTTCGTTTTAAAAGACTGTGCAGGCATTGAAGATGGCCCAAGAGTGGATGATGGTGTTGTTGTTGTCAATTGCTGAGAATAATTGTTCAGGAAATCAAAATATTGATGGACACTTATAGTTAAGGTTCTCTCAAATCTCCAAGTCCTTGATCCAAAGGCGAAAAATAATCTTCAATAGTTTGAAAAATTTCTTCACCGTTTCCGTTTAATTGAACAACAACACGAAGAGATCCTTGTAATTTGAGCGAGAAAAAAAAGAAAAGGTCGAAAATGAGTAAACATGAGATAAAATAAGAGAAACAATTCCATGCAAAAGAAAACGAAGATGGCGAAAAAAGAGAACCAAAACTCTTCAAGTTATAGGGAAATAGAAATACCTGAGTTATCAACTTGATTGGGCTCTATTCTCAAGGTGTCGCGTATTGTAGTTCCAGAATTGGGAACAGTTTCTAGGATCAGGGTTGACAAATTGTCATCAGTTTTACTGTCAAAATAGGCTCGTTGTACATCAATTGGTGGAATGGTGATGTTGAAACGAGATCTTTCTTGGATTTGACAAACTTGGGAAAACTTAATACCAGCTGAGACTAAATGAATTTCATCACAGCAAAACTTATCAACACCAAAGTAGACAATGTTATTGTAAATCGATAAAGTTGCAAAACAGCCATTAGACATCAAATTGTCTTATGAGGATGAGAATTTGAAACAATTATAAAGTAGAAAAAAAGTAAACAGATTGAGAGGGAAGAACGAAAATCAAAACAAAAATTTCACAATTTTTTAGATATAAAATTGATCGACTTTTAAAGATCAATCGCCAAATAATCCATTTCACTTTCGTTCAAAATTGATAGTCAATTTTAATTTAAAGTTGATTCAATTAAATTGAATCAATTTAATATTTAATAAATTAGACAAAAACAAAACCAAACAAAGAAATGAAAAAATTACTTTTAACCCGCGAAATTTGAATTCATTAATTTGAATATCAATTCATTCACATAATGAAGTTTTGAAATTACAATTAAAGACAATGAATAATAAATAAATCATCGACGATTAAAAACTTAATATCAGCTATTCAACCAAATAACCTGACTTAAACTAATCTGATCTTAATGTTAACTATTGGTGGATTTAGTAACAATAGTGTGATTTAAAAAGTTACCGATACAATTGATTTAAGTGCAAATGTAATTCCAATGTCGTTTTGATTTCGCTTAACTTAAAGACAATAACTGTTAATATCAACGATTAGAAGAGAGCCAGAGGTCAACTATCATTTGCATCTACCACTTTTTTCTTAGTTTTTACTCTTTCGTTCAATCAATCTTTTAATTGTACGTCGTTTAGAAGAGACCGATGAAAAAGAAAACCAATCACCAAGATTAATAGCAGGATCTTTACAAATTCTTTCAATTATATAATCTGGATTCTGGAAATGATCAAGAATAAACAAAATGAATTAATTTGAGTTGTCGAAAAGAAAAAGTTAACTGAACCTTCAAATAAACTTACTTTTAGGAAATTCTCAATACATTGTAATACATAAAGTCCACAGTCGAAGTCATTGTTTTGCTTAGGCACCTTGAGATAAATTTCAGGCATTACGCTTTTATTGAAACTTTTCTTTGTCGTTTTCTTGGATTCCCATTCTTTAGCTAGAAAGTGTCGTAATGGTGCGGCTAATCCACATCTACTATGAGCACTTTGCGTCGAGTCCATGAAACATATACAAGATCTAGAGAAAGAGAGAGACGAAATTTCAAGAGAATCTGAGTTAAATTTAAGATTAAATGAAATTGATTCAATACCTTTTGGGGTATTTTCCAATCACTTCAATAAATTCACCTCTACTTGGATAGCAAATGATTGCAGCAAACCAATGGCCGTTTTTATTAATCGGGATAATTATAAAGTCTTTCTCGAAGATGTTTGTACCTTTCGTCCATTTCTTGACCCTATTGTAGCATCTATCAGAAAGTCTGGGTAATTTTGAGACGACAGATAAAAAGGGATGAAAAAAATAGAAATTCAAGTATCAGATGATTTATGTTGAAAAGATGACAGAAGAAAAACACTCGACAAACGGTAAATCGACACTAACACGTACGGTTCATTGTTTTGAGTTTGAGCCTTTGATTCTCGAGCTCTATGAGTGAGGTTGTAATAAAAAAGTGTATCGAATATATGGATTCTATCGGCTATTCTCCGTGCTATCAAATTCTTTTCCATGAACCTATGGAAGGGATGAATATACGCATTAGAATACCAACAATTTTTACAAAGGTTT